TTTTAAATATAAGTATTTGCATTTTTACACTGGGACTCGACGAGTTGGAGGCCCAACTCGTCGAGTAGACTGGATTTTGGACGCGGGGTTGAAGTAACCTACTCGACGAGTCGGGAGCCCGACTCGACGAGTAGGACTGCCTGGATGAAACCCTAATATTTAGGGTTTGCACCCTATTTAAGCACATTATCTTGTCCTACTTTAGCCTCCATCGTCTCTCACAGTCCACAAAAGCCCTAACTCGAAACCCTAAAGCATTTGTAGTGTTCGTGAGCCATTTTTGTGTGTTTGTGGTTGTTTGAAGCTTGAAGAAGGAAGTGGAAGCTTGGTCGTTCCAAAAGAAGCAAGTAGATCCAGAGGTTTTACTTCATTTCCAGCTCAGCCAAGGTAAAAAGCTTCAACCTTGACCATTTATCTCTTAGATCTCTAGTTAGGACAAGTTTCTACCTTTTCTAAGTTTTAGTAGAGCCATTCTCAGGATTTTGTGGTTCTAAGGGGGTATGACTTTAGATCTGGAACCATTGAGGGTTCCCATGGCATAAAGGTGCCAACTTTATGGCCATGAGAGTCTCATGCATAATATAAACCTCATTTTTGAACCTTTTGAGCTAAAAACCCCACGCATGAACGTCAAGTTCATAACTTTACGTGTAATATGGACCCTAAGAGGTCAGATCTATGTTTTGGATGCATTAAGACCATCTGAAATCGACTGAATAGATTTGGACATAGAGGAACTAGGCGAGTCGCTTATGTGACTCGGCGAGTCATGTCGCATTTGTCCCCAAAACCCCTTCTGATAGCGAGTGTGTGTTGAGTTGGAAGAAGACTCATCCTGTTAGGTTCATTATGGACCTGAAGATCATCGTACTCGACGAGTTCAAGGATGAAATCGGCAAGTCCAAGGCAATATCCCAACCATATGAAGATGAACTCGACGAGTTCAAGGATGAACTCGGCGAGTGAAGGACTAAACACCTTAACTCAGATGAAGATGAACTCAACGAGTTAAAGGATGAACTCGACGAGTCAGTTGTAGCAGGTTCCGACTTTGTTTAAAGGAGAACTCGGCGAGCCCTTGTAAGGCTCGGTGAGTGGGGTCGAAGTCTTGGTGTTTTCATGATTTTGGAACTCAACGAGTTGTGGGGCCAACTCGGCGAGTTGAGTCAACTGGATGTTGACTTTGACCTAGAGTTGACTTTGACCAAGGTGTTGACCTTGACTTTGACTTTGACATGAGTTGACCAGGAAATGGTAATTAAGGAAGATTATTATGTGTAGGATCTGAGAGGAGTTGATTCTGACAACAAGGACAGTTCAGACACCTTACGCATCGAGGTGAGTTACCTTCCAGTAGAAGTGGGTCTACGGCTACAATGTCGGCCCACTAGTAGGGATTGTTTGTCGAGTAGTTGTCTTTGTGATAATTACTTGGGTTTGCCACTATCGGATGTGTTTTACATGCTAGTATAATATGATGTTATGTGATAGTGGTAGTAAGGGGAATAGTCCCCGGTTACCGGTCGATAGGGTCGAAGGGGTAGGATGGTACCCAGCTATGCTAGACAGTATGATTATGTTATGTTATTATATGGTAGTAGTAGGTGGTGAAATAGTCCCTGTAACCGGTTGAGATAAACCGGAGGGGTCGGTCAGACACCCCGGTATGTCTGGGGTAGGTTAGGTACCCCGGTATGCCAAGCAGGGTAGGTCGGGCACCCAGATATGCCTGATAATATGTTTATAGTATGGTATGTGGTATGATGGAGGAACTCACTAAGCTTCGTGCTTACAGTTTTCAGTTTTGTTTCAGGTACCTCTTCAACAAAGGGGAAGAAGTCGGCACGGTAGCAGCGCATCGCACACATATGATTTTCACATTTTGAGATCCATGAATTTGTACTCTGACATTACTACTACTTTATGTTATTGTTTTTGAGACACGTGACTAAGGTTTTATGAAATGATATGAATCGTTGATGTTTTTGAGTAAACTGTTTTATAAGTTACTTAATTAAAAACAATTTTTTTAGTCTAGAAAATTGGGATATTACAAGTGAATGTGGGTTGCACCTGATCCTACATCGGCTGGGAAGGAGAACTAAGCATTTCCTTATAAGGGTTGTGGATACCTTCCCTGTCACAACGCGTTTTAAAGCCGTGAGGGCAGCAGATCCCATAAGAACTTTGCAGTTAAGCGTGCCCGGGCGAGAGCAATCTAGGGATGGGTGACCCCCTGGGAAGTTTTCGTGACGGGAGCCCAAAGCGGACAATATTGTGATACATGCCAGCAGGGGATATTGCAAATGGTATCAGAGCTGGGGCACGATTCGATGTGTTCGATGGGGACGTCGAACCCTATAATGAGGGGGTGAAGGTGGGTTGCACCTGATCCTACATCGGCTGGGAAGGAGAACTAAGCATTTCCTTATAAGGGGTGTAGATACCTTCCTTGTCACAATGTGTTTTAAAGCCGTGAGGGCAGTAGATCCCATAAGAACTCTGCAGTTAAGTGTGACCGAGCGAGAGCAATCCAGTGATAGGTGACCCCCTGGGAAATGTTCGTACCGGGAACCCAAAGAGGAAAATATTGTAATACCAGGAAGAGGGGATGTTACACAATGGTTGACTGGAACCATAGTATGTTGGCATTCTAACTCGATGGTTGAGGGTCTGGGGTATTCCAACCCTCTGGTTGACTGGACCCATAGTATGTTGGCATTCCAACCCGATGGTTGAGGGCCTGGGCTATTCCAACCCTCTGGTTGACTGGACCCATAGTATGCTGTTATTTGTATATTTTATATGTTTGGGTGTTGGTACTTTGGGGGAACTCACTAAGCTTCGTGCTTATAGTTTTGACTTATGGTTTCAGGTACTTCAGTGGATCGTGGCAAGGTGAAGGCGTGACCATCCACATCCTCGCGTTTTAGACTTATGGTTTCAGGTACTTCAGTGGATCGTGGCAAGGTGAAGGCGTGGCTATACACATCCTCGCGTTTTGGACTTATGATTTTTGGGAAGCTCTGATAATGTGAATGTTTTAAAAACTATGTTGAAAGAGATTCTGATTTTTAAATAATGTTTTGGGACAACGGTTTTTGTAAACATTTTTACACAAAAAGGGTTGTTTTGAAAAGTTTAAAATTTATGAAATTTTATGGATGTTACATGGTCGTTGGTATTGGTGGCAGGTGGTGATGATGTTGGTGGGTGGTGGCGGGGATGGCAAGCATGGTGGGTGGTTGTGATGGTTGGTGGTAGGTGAGTGGCTGGTGGTTTGTGGTCGGTGGTGGTGGCGGGTGGTAGTGATGGGTGGTGGATGATGGGTGGTGGCGGTTGGATGTGGTGGGTAGGGTGGTGGAGGCGAGAGATAGTGATTATTAGTGGTGATAGTTGGGTGGTGGTGGTGGGTGATAGTTGGTGGTAGTGACAGGTGGTGGTGGTGATGGTGGGTGATTATGGGTAGGTGTTTGTCGTGGTGGGTGGTGGGTGGTGGCGAGGGGTAGTAGGTGGTAGTGGCAGGTAGTGGTGAGATCGGTAGGTGGTGGTGGTGGTGGCGGGTGGTGATGGGTGGTGATGGGTGGTGGCAGGTGGCAGAGATGGGTGGTGGTGACGTTTGGTAGTGGTGATAGGTGGTGGTGAACATGTTGACATATGACCATTATGACCGGATGTAACCTGCTACAGCAGGTCATAATGGTCATATGTGGACACTTCCAAAAAGTCCGTTACCTGGATGTGTATTAAAAAAATATAGTTACCCAGATGTGTACAAACTGAAAAGTTAATTAACTTAATAAGTCATATTCCCTATTATATATGCGTCTTTAAGTATCTTGTAGAAATTAATGCATACTTAATATATGTATTTATTATGTTATTTTTGAAACGAAAAATCTAACTACTAAATTACTCTTAATTCCATTTTTTTTAACCGACAACTAATCTACTCCTAAAACCACCTATGTCTCTTAATGAGACTTGAATCCTTGACCTCTCATTTGAGAGTGTCACTCCTTACCGTTAGGCCAAAGACCTTTTGGTACTTATTATTATTATTATTATTATTGTTATTATTGTTATTATTAAAAACATATTTCTGCCATTAAAAATATACGTGTAAATATTTTTTTACTTTTAAAATATATTTATATTTTTATAATCATATATATACCTTGAAAATGTATAAAGATGTTTTATAATGTGTAAATATGTTTATAAAGTTATACAAACATATTTTACCTTTATATATCTATTCATATCTTTTATATTGTTTATATCTTTAAAATCATATTTAAATCTTTAAAAATGTGTGTATACATATTTATACTTCTAAACAAAAACATAAATATAAATATTTATACATTCACTAATAATAATAATATATTTTTACATTTAAAAACGTATTTATATTTATACATGATGTTTTTTTACAAAATAAATACATATTTATACCTATTAAATAAAAATAAATACTTTTTTTGTTGTATAAATATGTTTTTAAACGTATGTTTTCAAATGTATACATATGTTTTTAATTATATAATTACTTTTTAAAAATTGTATGCGGTTGGTGGGTGCTAGAATACAAGTCACCCTTTTACTTCACCTAAGCCTGATTTTTTTAAGTACAAAAAAACATTTTTTAAGTAAAAGATACATACTTTTTAACTAAGGAAACATGGCATGCCATGTAGGCCGCTATGTCAGCCAAAATACTCGTGACGTGGTGCACCACATATACCCTTACCGGATCCACCTTTAAAAAGATCAAACATATTTGTTTGTAAAATTCAGGTATTAATAAACATAAAATTGGATTCAAGATAAAACCATTGATGATCGATAAAAATTAAGACTCGTGCGTCGACATTCCTATTCCTATATAATAATATAGGGTTGCTAACACTTTTATTTCATTGTTTATTTAATTACGTCTTCTAGATATTCAAACAAGATATCGATCATCAGACTTTGACTAACCCAAGTCCGGATTTAAAACTCACAAATGTAATACCTCCATTGGAGTATACAGAATTAGAGATAGTAACAAAACATAAGGCAGAGAAGAATGATTAGCTTAACCGAAAGACTTCTAATGGAGAAAGCAATTTTACTTCTTGTTTTATTTGTTTCACTGCACATTCAGAAAACCTACACCGCTGAAATTGCCATGATTTCAGATTCAAGCTTCTTGACAGAAGCAGACACGTTGGTCTCACCTGCCGGAATTTTTGAACTTGGGTTTTTCAGGCCAGAAAGCTCTAATAACAAATATGTTGGTATATGGTACAAGAAAATATCTGTTCAAACGGTGGTTTGGGTTGCCAACAGAGACATCCCAGTCATGGCTGCATCATCCGGCACACTGAGGATCGTCTCTCCAGGAAATCTCGTCCTCATGAAAGGGAACGACACAAATGATGTAATCTGGTCAACCAATACAACCTCATCAGGTAACGTAATTGTACAACTTGAAGACAATGGAAATCTAGTTGTCAAAGAAAGAATAGAAGAGAAGATTCTATGGCAGAGTTTTGATTATCCAACTGATACTCTTCTACCTGGCATGAAAGTAGGGAGAAATTTCTTAACGGGTAAGGAATGGATACTATCGCCATGGAAGAGTAATCAAGATCCAGCTCCAGGTGAATTCACATGGAGCGCTGACACAAGCGGCTATCCTCAGATCGTACTAAAACAAGGCACAACAGTCAAGTTCCGAGGTGGACCATGGAATGATGTTTGGTTTAGCGGGGATTCTGCGTCCACCAGGAACATCATTACAGGAGATATGGTTATTAATGAAACAGAGACGTATTACAGTTATTCTCTTCTCAATAGCTCTGTTATCTCAAGGCTCGTCTTGAATTCATCTGGGCAGCTAGAACGTTGGGTGTGGGTGGATGATGGTGAAAAATGGCAGATTTTCTATCAGTTACAAAGAGATTTCTGTGATGGGTACAACATCTGTTATGGTTATGGAACCTGCAGTGTTCTAACCTCACAAAGATGTTCTTGTTTAGATGAGATAAGATTCGTGCCAAGAAACCAGAATGGATGGGAGACAGCAGATTGGTCGGGTGGTTGTGTGAGACAAACACCATTGGATTGCAAAAATGGAACCGATGGGTTTATCAGGTACTCTAATGTGAAGTTGCCTGATACAGAGTCTTCATGGTTTAATATAAGCATGAGTCTGAATGAATGTAGAGAAAAATGCTTCAATAATTGTACTTGTATGGCGTATGCAAATATAGACATTAGACAGGGAGGAAGTGGGTGCTTGCTTTGGTTCGGTGAACTTTTGGACATGAGAGAGATACCTGATGGCAATGGTGGTCAGGATATCTTTGTAAGAATGGCTTCCTCAGAAATAGAAATAGGTAACCATGTCTTCACAAACGGCAAATTTCATATTAGTCCATCAAACTTATTTTGTTTTAAAAGGTCACTAAATTATTATTTTTGTACATTAAGGGAGCGAAGTGCGAATTTACGGTTTTAAAAGGTCCTTATTTGACCTGATACCGGTAACCAGGTAAAATGTGGTGATGTATGCTTGATAAATAGGCTTTAACACTTCAGAGCTTCCAACTTTCGTCAACCTACCAACTCTATACCTAACAAACGATATTTTCTTCACCCTCTTCTTCTGTCACCTACTTCCTCCTCCACTGTTGGCGGGAAAAAATCCGGTCCTCTACCCCTCTTAACGTCGTTACCCTCTCCGAACTCACCGTCATCGTCTACCTCATTGCCTACTTCATCTACCCTCTCCTTCTAGGGTTCTTTGGCATCGATTTCGTTCAATCTTTGGCATTGATTTCGTTCAATCCTTCTTGAATCAAAGCTTGGGGACTGTCGGAGATGCCTATTGGCTTCGATTCGACGGGAGGCGTTAGAGAGAAAACGGGGAGGCCGTTATTAAGGTTACCACTTGAAGGATTCGATTACAATTCGATATTGGGGCAGTGCTGTGAGATGCCTATTGGTTATGTTCAGGTACCTGTCGGAATCGCAGGACCTTTGTTGTTGAATGGTAGCGAATACATGGTGCCCATGGCTATGATGGAGGGATGTTTGGTTGCGAGCACAAATAGAGGCTGTAAAGCCATATTTGAATCAGGCAAAGCACGACGATTTTGTTAAAGGATGGGATGACGAGGGCAGATGTTGTTAGGTTTGGATCGGCTACAAGGGCTCTACTTTCTTTGAAATAGACTCCTTGTTTTGAGAATCTTGATTAATTTCTACATTCTTTTACATCAGATCAAGCAGATTTGCTCGAAGTACTTGAATTGGATTGTTCTGATTCACCACAAATGATTCTAAAACTTGAAGTAATTGAATTTAGTTTTGGGGATAAGTTTGGAGATGGGAAACCTGTTATAGTGGGAGGAGGTTGGAGGAGATGAGGACTCTGAGATTAAAACCTGTTACAGTGGGTCAAATGATTTTTTTAACAGGTAAATGATAGTTTATTCCCTTAATGTACCAAAAAAAAAGTTGGGTGACTCTTTAAAATAAACACGAAAAGTTCGATGGGCTAATATGACATTTGCCCCTTCACAAAAATATTCCTTGGTATATATTCAAATAGATGTATCTCAGCATGTAAAATTACTTATTTCATGATTGTTACTACAGCTCAACCAGTTTCAGAGAATAAGGAGAGAGCAAACCTTAAAATCATCTTACCAGTAGTTTTTCTTGGGGTTCTTCTGATAGGCTTGGGCTCTACATGGTTCCTTTTTGCATGTAGAAAAAGGCGTGATTCACAATCAATGAGGCAAGGTAAGAAAAATACAAAACTATAAATTAATGATCCCAAGTTACATTGTTATGCTCACATTACATCAATCTTCTAGTTTACATTGTTTTTTTCAACCTTTCTAAATTACATTGTTATTATGTTCATCATTTGCCTTCTTTATATCCCCACTCTCACCCTTACTATAGTCCTTGAACAAGCCTTTTTTGAAAATGTTTGAGTCTCCTGCATTGTGAGTTATCTTGAAGCCTTGCATTGTCCACGTTTAGGATATGAGAATTCTGAGAGCATGTACTTTTATTTGTCCAGCATAAACAGAATATCCATTATGTATTCTATGTATAAAGTGTATCATAAGATATTCTAGGCTAAACCGGAGTGTCTTTGAAGCCAACTGTAATACGGGCAGACAAATCTTTTAAATCTTTAATCGGTCAGGTTCTAACAATATAGTCTATCTGAAATTATGATATATGCATTTTGAGTAGCAGAGTAAAACAGAGTATTTCTATCGTAGTCAATCACCTATAACTTGAACTGCTTGCCTCCACCATGTGATAATTCAATCAGCGAGCGAGCTTTAAGCTCAGATTAAAAATAGCACCATCTTGTCAAAGAGCATTCAAATGGTATCACTTAAACTTCAAACTCAACTAAATAGTATGCTACCCCCTCCCTCTTTCCAACAACTAGATGATTTGACCATAGTCACAGGATTCGCCAAAGTAGTGACAATCTACGTTCCGAACGACCCGATCCCAAACGCGGTACGATTGCGTACCGATCGCCGACAGAAACGCCCCGGGGTACGTCTTGCTTGCGATTCCACCAATTTTCTAAATCGATACCTGAAACGTGAAATTGGCGAATCGGATTGCACAGAAACACGATTGGGATCGGCAATTTTGGTTCTGGAACGCCGATTTGTGAAATTGGCGGGAAATTGATTTCATCCGGGGAAAATTCGCCGACGCTTGGTTTCTTTGTTCAAGTCCTCGATTCCATGTTAGATGTTTAGACTTAGATATTGATTCGTCTTATCACTTTTAATAGTTATATAGTAGCCATGCCACTTATCTAAATATCATCACTTCATCATGATTCCACTTCTTCCACTTCTGTTCTACGTTCTTATGTTTTGAGCCCTCATATCCTCTCCTATCTTTTGTTTTTATTATTTTTCATCTTTGAAAATGGTTTTTAGTACGTCTTTTACGTGTTAACTTAGAATTTCTATTTTTAGGTATAAAATTATTTATAAGTAAACTTGCATTTCTGTTTTTAAGTTAACTATTGATGGAATTATGTTTTGAACATGTCTACACCGTATCGGATGCTATGGTACACCGTATCGGATGCTATGGTACACCGTATCGGGCCGTACCGGAATGAACCTACCCCCACCGTATCCGATACATCCTAAATGGCGAACCGCGTTCCCGATCCTCGTTCCCGTACCGGAGCGTGCCGCGAACTATGTGACTATGGATTTGACACTGACACCACATGAATAAATTTTCATACACCAATATCAACCCCGATCACGAGATTTACCCAACACGAATGGAACACTACCATAAGAAAATGGATGAGTAGCAAACCAATGAAAGAACCGGAAGGTATGATCGTAACGCAACGCAGTAGCAAAGAAGCTGTTGAGCGACTAACCTGATGCTGCTGAAGGAAGATAATATCGATCAACCGTAGGCACTCGTCCTTGCCTTCTGTCGTTGCTTGAGTTTTTTCTCTTTGTATTATGATTAATTTGAATTAAATTTCATTGTGATTTGTGATTGGAATGCTTCATATGCAATTCAAGGGATTGTAGAGTTCTCAGCAAAGTTTCTACTAAAGGGTTGATAGATCCTTTGATTTGTCTATTGCCACAACAATATAATGAAAATCTTCAAGTTAGACTTCTAAATATCTTTTCCACAATTCTATTACCTTCGAATTCTTCACCATTTAATCTCATTTGGTTTGTTATAACGATCACATGGTTATAGAATCCCACGAGTGATTTAGACCGTCTAATTCGCAAGTTAACAAATCCACATCTTTGTGCTTGCAATCTTATTGTCTTCAATTTTCTTTCCCTCTGTATGTAAGTCATGGGTAACATATCCATGTTAGGGTGTGGAGTCTTGATAGAAACTCTGTCGGTGAGAGAAAACTCTGTTTGGTTGCAACAGAAAGCTGTGTTGGTGAGAGAAAACTCTATCACGAAGGAGGAAACAGCTACATGACATTCTGTGATTGGTTGAAAATTAGAGCACCCCCTTCATAGACTAATTATAGATGGGTCTGGCCACTCAGAATTAGGTTTCCCATGTTTCGTTAAATAGGCACACATCTCCATCAACATTTTTGCGTAAAAATTCCAAAAAACTAAATCATTGTGTGGTTGAGAGCACATCCTTTGGAGCAGTTTATTAGCAAGATATATTCTTTTGCTTTGAGAGCTCTAATGAGGTGCAACCTTTGTAAGTGATTGTAATTGTTCTTGGGAAGTTTAATAAAATCATCTCTCTCTCTCTCTCTCTCTCTCTCTCTCTCTCTCTCTCTCTCTCTCTCTCTCTCTCTCTCTCTAATGTAAACCAGAGTGATCGAACCACATTAAATATTGTGTTTTGATTTTATAGTTTTTCATTTGTAGTTTTATTCCACAAGTTTCTTCGAAGTTCGTTCATCATTTCGTCTGAAGTGGTTAACTCTTTTGTTGAATTTCAACAAACCGTTATCAAAGCTTAACAAGTGTTATAAGAGCTCTTCCGATTCTTTACTAGTGATTTTGAATTCCTAACAAAATGGTATTAGAGCTATGGTTGAAGATGGAAGAGTTAATATTGACAAATTCGATGTTCAAAATTTGTTTTTTTTTTCTAAAAAATACAAATCGAATACTCTCTTTTATGATTCAATAATGAAACCCTAGTAGTATTTTGATGATTTGTTATGTCCTTCTGATGTGCAAGTGTATTTGGTTTGTTTTGATTTGTCTGGATTGTTCGAGGGTTCCAATTATTGTTGGTATTCATTTGACTTTTGGGTTTTTCGTCATTTTTCACGCCCCCGAATTGGGTTCTGCCGCCACAAAATTAGCTTTTTTGTCAATATCTCGCCACGATTTTATTTTCGCACTGCGATTTAAGTTGAGAGTACTGCTTCGTCGATATATCGCAGTGAATTTATTATCATGCCACAATTTTTTTGACTGAAAACATCTTTTTCTGTTTTAGTTATTGTTCGAAGTTTAGTTTGTTTGGTTATTTAAGATATTTGACAATTTTTAGGTTTCTTTGTTCTGTTTGACTATGGCTATTCGCTATTGGTTTCGACAGTTTGATTTGTTCGTTTGTTGTTACTTTGGGATTATTGTTTGGTTGTTTACTGTCAGTATGGATCCAAATGATAGACAAGTCTGAAGAGTTAATTTTGATGAATGTGCTTATTGCACATAGAAGAAGACCCGCTGGAAGTCTCAGTGGTCATTGTTATTGAACAAGTCAAAATAGCAACAAGATAGATCATCTGGATCGTTTCGGTCATCGTTTCACCCCATAATAGAAACTAATACTCATGCTACCACCACATCATCTTTTGTATTGGATACTCAAGTCTTTGAGGAGTTCAGGTAGTTCCTTGCTCTTACTTATGTAACTATGCCTACATCTACATCTCATTCAGGTCTTTCCTCATCCGACACTTTAGGTATTCCTTCATCTTTATGGATCTTGGACTCTGGTCCATCTCATTATATATGTGTCACGTTACTTGTCATACTTTGTTTCTTTTTCTTATGGATCATCTGTTTCAACCATATCAGCTAGCTCTACACCTATATACCTATAGAGAGTGTTGATTTGGTTTTCACTCCTAATGTACCCCTTAATGATGTCTATTATTTTTTCACACTTTCTTTAAATCTTGCCTCAGTTAGTTAGTTGTGTAAATCTAATTACTGAGTTTTCTATTCTGATTCTCTTTGTTGTGTTCTTGATTCTCACTTCCAGAGAGTGATTGGAATCAACCATAAGTTAGGAGAACTATATTTCTTGGACCAACTCAAAATGCCTGATGTGATTGTCAGTAGTGTTGATTTGTCTGATGTTGTTGCCAATAGTGTTGATTTGTCTTCTTGGGTTTGACTGATTCGTCTTCTTAATTTTGGCTTTGCCATTCACATTTGGGACGCGTCTCAACTTCTCGTTTACATTTTTAGCCAATGCTGTCGTTTGGAAAGTCATGATATTTCTGATTGTTGTGGTTACAAACTAGCAAAGTTTTATGCTTTACCATTTAATAAAAGTGTCACTCGCTTTGCTGCTCCATTTGGTATTATGCATTCTGATGTGTGGGGTCCCTCACCCGTTTCCTCTAAAGGAGGATCCACTTAATAATATATTTCTTTTATAGACCTTTACACTCGTTATACGTGGGTTTATCTTATGAAGCGCATATTTGATTTTTTCACAATACATATGAAATTTAGATCCGTAGTCAAGATTCAACACTCCGATGTTAGAAAATTTTTCTGTCATGATTTACGAGACAAATATACTTCTAATGATTTTGGGCAATTACTTGTATCCGATGACACTATGCATCGATTATCATGTACATATATTCCTCGACAAAATGTTATTAGTGAAAGAAAATATTGTGACCTTGTTGAAATTGCATGATCCTTGCTTTTAACCTCTCAGGTTCCTAGTATATTTTGAGGAGAATTTGCTCTTACCGCTACATATATCATTAATTGCATTCCTACTACTCAAAAATATGGGATGTATCCTATGAAAACCTATATGGAAAACTTCTTGATTATTCTTCATTATGTGTATTTGGGTGTGCATGCTTTGTTTTACGACCTCACACTGAGCGAACCAAGTTGTCTCCAAAATACACTCTATGTTTATTCTTGGGGTATGGTATTGATTGAAAAGGTTATT